GGGCATGTAGAGAGCTGTGTAGAGTATATACCAGGGCAGGGGCGGCAGGTTTGTAGAAATTTTGGTGGAGCCCAGAATGCTCAGAGCCCGCCCCCTCCAAACTCGGCCCCCCACCTGCCTAAGACTCTGCGAGGGAGTTTAGGTGTGGGGAGGAGGTCTGGGGTGCAGGGCCTGGGTTGGGGCAGGGTATTGGGGTGTAGGATGGTTGAGAGGCTGGGCTCTGGTAGGAAGATTGGGTGCTGGGTGCAGGCTCTGGGCTAGGGCAGGGCCTGGGGATGCAGGAGGGGGTGAGGGGTGAAGGCTCTGGGACAGAGTTTGGGTGCAGGAGGGGTGTATGGGAAGGGGTTGAGGGTGCAGGCTCTGGGAGGAAGTTTTGGGGCAAGAGAGGGTGTGTGGGAAGAGGTGAGGGTGCTGGGTCAATTAAAAGTGGAAAGTCAGAAGCAGCACTTGCCTGCTTCAATATATTATATTTTGTTGTACCTGTTGTGATTCATAGACTAGACCACTTTAAAGTCAGAAGGGACCATTATGATCATCTAGTCTGACCTCCTGCACAATGCAGGCCACAGAATCTTACCCACCCATTCTTGTAATAAACCCCTAACCTATGTCTGAGCCATTGAAGTCCTCAAATTATGGTTTAAAGACTCTAAGGTGTAGAGAATCCTCCAGCAAGTGACCCGTGCCCCATGCTGCAGAGGAAGGCGAAAAAAACCCAGGACCTCTGCCAATCTGCCCTGGGGGAAAATTCCTTCCTGACCCCAAATATGGCAATTAGCTGAACCCTGAGCATGTGGGCAAGACTCACCAGCCAGGCAGCCAGGAAATAATTCTCTGTAGTAACTCAGATCCTACCCCATCTAACATCCCAACACAGGCGAATGGACATATATACTACCAATGGTCAGAGACCAATTAATTGCCTAAATTAGGCTATCCCATCATATCATCTCCTCCATAAACTTATCAAGCTTAATCTTGAAGCCAGATAGGTCTTTTGCCCCTACTACTTCCCTTGGAAGGCTGTTCCAGAACTTCACTCCTCTGATGGTTAGAAACCTCTATCTAATTTCAAGTCTAAACTTCCTGATGGCCAGTTTATATCCATTTATTCTTGTGTCCACATTGGTACTGAGCTTAAATAATTCCTCTCCCTCCCTGGTATTTATCCCTCTGATCTATTTAGAGAGAGCAATCATATCTCCCCTCAGCCTTCTTTTGATTAGGCTAAACAAGCCAAGGTCTTTGAGTCTCCTTTCATAAGAAAGTTTTTCCATTCCTCGAATCATCCTAGTAGTCATTCTCTGTACCTGTTCCAGTTTGAATTAATCTTTCTTAAACATGGGAGACCAGAACTGCACACAATATTCCAGATGAGGTCTTACCAGTGCCTTGTATAATGGTACTAACACCTCCTTATCTCTACTGGAAATGCCTCACCTGATGCATCCCAAAACTGCATTAACTTTTTGCACTGCCATATCACATTGGCGGCTCATAGTCATCCTGTGGTCAACCAATACTCCTAGGTCTGTCTCTTCCTCCATTATTTCCAATTGATGTGTCCCCAGCTTATAACTAAAATTCTTGTTATTAATCCCTAAATGCACGACCTTGCACTTTTCACTATTAAATTTCATCCTATTACTATTACTCCAGTTTACAAGATCATCCAGATCTTCCTGTATGATATCCCATTCCTTCTCTGTATTGGCAATACCTCCCAGCTTTGTGTCATCCGCAAACTTTATTAGCACACTCCCACTTTTTGTGCCAAGGTCAGTAAAAAGAAGATTAAATAAGATTGGTCCCAAAACCGATCCTTTGAGGAACTCCACTAGTAACCTCTCTCCAGCCTGACAGTTCACCTTTCAGTATGATCCGCTGTAGTCTCCCCTTTAAGCAGTTCCTTATCCACGTTTCAATTTTCATATTGATCCCCATCTTTTCCAATTTAAACTAATAGTTCCCCATGTGGATCCCTATCAAATGCCTTACTGAAATCAAGGTAAATTAGATCCACTGCGTTTCCTTTGTCTAATAAATCTGTTACCTTCTGAAAGGAGGAGATCAGGTTGGTTTGGCACAATCTACCTTCTTTAAAACCATGTTGTATTTTATCCCAATTGCCATTGACCACTGTTTTAGACCGTTCCTTCTGTTTTACTGGATGGCTGAGAGTCACGTCTGACTGCGTAGTTGGGGGGCAGGGCCCCCTAGCTTCCCCAGGAGCCCCACTCAAGCAGGCTCACTGAAGGAAGCACAAAGTGTGGCAGACAGCATCACACTGGCCCTCTAGGGCTCTACAACAATCACACACCCTTATCCCACCACCTAGATCCTTAAGAAATGTATAGGGGAAACTGAGACACCCACAAAGTATTCAGAGAAAACATTAAGAACATTCCCACTTTGTAACACCTGTATACAGCCAATTATATACTTTAAAGGGTATAAAATAATCAAGTACTGTGCTAAACACGATCATACCCCAAACTGACTGCCAAATTTAAGTTGCGTGTTTTTCCCCAAAGGTGAGGGTTCTGGGGTGGGGCTAGGGATGAGCGGTTCACCGTACGAGAGGGGGCTCAGGTGCTGGGGTGAGGTAGGGCTGGGGATGAGGAGCTTGGGGTGCAGACAGGCTGCCCCAGGGCTAGGGTCAGAGAGGACTTTTCCCCCTCTCCTCTCCCCGCCGGCAGCAGCGAGCTCTGGGTGAGGGACCCCTCCGCTCCCCTGTTGGCCCTCACTGTAGTCTCACTGGGGGTGGGGCTGCCCCTTGCCCAGTGTGGGGCAGGAGTGATGGCTGTGGGATGGGAGGGGAAGGGCAGAGGGTCACAAAATTCCCCCAAGCCCCAGCTGCTCAGATCCAGGAAGCCCCCCAGCTTGAAATGGCCCACCTTGATTATCACTACAAAAAGGTTCCACCCCCTCTCGCCCACCCACTCTCCTGTTGGTAATAGCTCACCTTAAGTGACCACTCTCCTTACAGTGTGTATGGTAACACCCATTGTTTCATGTTCTCTATGTATATAAATCTCCCCGCTGTATTTTCCACTGAATGCATCCAATTAAGTGAGCTGTAGCTCACGAAAGCTTATGCTCAAATAAATTTGTTAGTCTCTAAGGTGCCACAAGTACTCCTTTTCAGTTTCCTGTGTGTTTACTTTGGCAGCCATCAGATGCCAGCTAGTGTGTTTAAAAAAAAAAGTGCATTGAGTGCTAAATAAATGTAAATGAACAGAACAAGTTTTTGATAACAGGAATTTAAGCACCCACTTGCTTTTATAGTATTTGTCACTCATTCTGAATCTCTGCTTCCACCTACGTGTCCTCCTATTATGTATGTCATCCACTTACTCTGGTTATAATGGCTACTGGATAAACTGGACAAAAGTTAGGTGGATGGATGGATTATAAATCAGGATGAACTGAATAAATTTTCTGCACAGTACAAGCCTTCTGCTATTTATATAACAGATGGGGATTCTGCCTAGAGTATACTGTTTAAGATCAGGCAGCATCCAGAGACTGAGTCTCAACTTCTGTACCGAGGATTGCTAGAACCTTAACCCCATCTCTGTGCAATGGAAAAGATATAATGTATGTGCATAAGCTGAATCTTTAAATAAAATTTTACAGTAAACTATAGCAAAAAACATTTGGTAACTTTCATTCCTGGTATACCTGCACTGAATGTAAAGGTATTACACCAAGCATGAATTTGGCCTTTTAATTTTGTCCATATTAACTATTCAGAATTGGGCTTTGAATATATTTACATATCTGTTTTCTAACTAGACAGTCCTCCAATAGAAAGTCATAGAAGAATAAGAAACTATTCCATATAAACTAGGCTTTGTTATAAAAGTAACATCTATTGCAGTTTTAGGTTTGCTAACAAAAATTAATACAGTGAAGATTTGACAGGTATGGATTTAATTAGACTGCTGTCATGCACTTGGCCATAACAGGAATGAATTATGGTGAACAACAATTAATACTGCAAAATGATGCTTGTTACAAGAGAACAGTGTCCTTTATTCCAGAATGTGGCGGTTTCGGGTTTTTTATACCAAGAATAGCACAATAAGTCAGACATAAGATCTTTGTGTGTGCAAGTTGCAAAAGTGCCCCATTTTCTCCTCTTAAGACCACCCCTGGAGACTCTGCTTTGTTGTTGCAACACTGTTGGGAGGCACCAGGTGGCACTATTGCAGCAAAGTGGCTTACTCAATGTACAAGGAAGTAGCTAGTGGGAAAATATTTTGTCAGTGGTGATGCAGTTTTTTAGATTTACTGGTGAGACACTCTACGATCTTTGATGGCTCAATCTATGACAATAATTTTCTTACATGCAGAGCTGCTCTCTATTGGTAATACCCACTTAAACAACCAAAATATTACATGTTGCCAAAACATTATAGTGCTGACCAGGCTTGTCCACATCTTTCTTATTAGACAGTCAACAGTCCTCCCAGGATGCTAAATCCACTGCAGGATTTGAAGACACCCGAATGGTGATATTGGGCGCCAGTTTCCATTTATTTAGTCTGTGACCTACAGCACCAGAAAAAGAAAACAAAAAACTACAGGTCTTGTTTGTGTCAGTTGACTTAAGGAATCACCTTTATATTCACTCTAACTGAGCCTTCTCTCCTCTTTATTGTGAGGCACTCTACAACCCAAAATACTGACATGACATAGCCTGACAATCACTCCTTAGGGACTCAGCATACTGGTTCTACTGCACTCCCAAATACAGAAGTGATGTCTGAGCTTTAAATAAAATTTTACTTCCCCTGACTGCTTCTAGGTCACCAGGTCAGCCACTCTGCGAGATTTGTTTTTTAAAACAAGTTTGGGGCCATATCCTCATGTGGAGTAAAAGTGTAGCTCAATTAATGATAATGGAAAAACACTGATGGTAGTGTCATCATCATTAACTGTACATTTATTCAAGCTAAGGATCTGGCCTAAAGCCTTTTTTTTTGTATTTGCAGAACAGCCAGCTACGATGTGTATATAAAGTCTGCTGCAGTTTCCACGGTACACATCTGATGAAGTGAGCTGTGGCTCACGAAAGCTCATGCTCAAATAAATTGGTTAGTCTCTAAGGTGCCACAAGTACTCCTTTTCTTTTTGCGAATACAGACTAACACGGCTGTTCCTCTGAAACCTGATGTAAGATGTGTGACTTAAAAGGATTCCAGCACAATTGTCAGTGAAGCATCTACAGCATCTCTGAGGCAAAGACTTAACATTCTAAACCTCTTCAATAAGCCAACCACAAAAAATGTGCAAAAGTCATTAATTGGGCCACAGAAAGTTTGGCTTATATCATGAGGTTGTTTAAAGTGTTTTTGTTTAAATGCCTTCTTCTTTTGGAGCTTTTTGGGTGCTCTCACTGTGTTGGTAAGCTTTTCTCATCAACCAAAAGCCTTGTTTAAATGAAACGTTTTCAGGCAAATCTCTGGATTTGAGCAGCTGGGTCTTTAGCTAAGATACCAACCACCATGAGTCTGGCAATGAAACAGTGAATTGGCAAACCTGTTTTGACTAATTGTCCCCAAGTTCGTTAGAAAATGCAAATGGAGATGTGACATTTGAGAGGCTTTGATCTGACTCACTGGCACAGGTTTGAAAACCAACCCAGGAAATTTTTTATGGGCAGGGGTGTGATTGAAATCAATTCAATTCAATATATTTTTTCCCCTCCATTATACAGGGAAAGGCTTTTTAATTTCTTGGTGCAAGCCAAAATGGAGCCAGGATCAGTGGAGGCTGCACATGAACTCATTGTCATTTTATAAGAGTCCATGAGTCAGGACCATGAAGTAGATGATTGAGAACCAGTGTGACACCTTCTACCATGCAAGCATGGCAGTCCTGAGGATCTGTCAGGGTGGTATGGAACTCCTCTGAATGATTATAAAGGGTTTACACTATTTGGTTCCTTGTGTCTGCTGTTTAATTCTAAGACACAGTAATAGAGGACAGAGGGAAGGTAACCCAGCTGTGATACAGTTTTTCCCTTTCAATAAGAAACACCAATCTCCCTTGTTTCAGTCAGTTTTCCCCAAAGATACTGCCATGGTTACAGCAATTGAAAAGATGCAATGCATTAGAATTGAGAAATTCTAAAACTGGATAATGCAATATGCACTTGAGGGCCTCTCATTTCTTTGTGCCTAGTCTTGCTTTGAACCTGAGATATAGTATCATAAGCTTTCTACTCTGGATTTCTCATTTGTGACACATTAGTCGTACCACTTTACATCTTCTATTAGCCACACACACACGTATTTGTATTCTATGTACTGTAATCATGTCCTTCCACTGTCACAATCGATGCAGTAACTCAAGTTAGAGACCTACAGCACAATATTGCTACACTCCCATTGAGTCTCATTGAAATCCACTTACACTACGTGACTCAGTATCTCACTTCGTCACTCCCCTCAGTTTCACTCATAGACACACTCACCTACTAGTTTGCATATATAAAAACAAACCTAAACAATGGCAGTATGTATGAACTGTTGTCTTAAGTCTAAAAACCTTTAAGAATGGAACAGCACAAGCAATACAGAAGAGCACCAGCAGCTACACGTAACGAACTGTACGGCATGTGTCTGCATTTGGTTCAACCAAAAAGTGTTATGATTCACACAGATGAAAGTGTGTGTTGTCCTTAAGGATATTTGAAACAAACAGTTGCATGAAGGTATAGAGTTAGAAGAGACACTCATACTCTAGGTGCAAGTACATTGTGGAGCAGTTAGTTTCCCACCAAATGGTCGCTCCTCACTTCTAATCTCTTGTTGCTTCCTGCTGGCAGTGCATTGTTAGTCACACAAAGGCAGAAACTGAGCCACTAGCTTCTTACATATGTCACTGATATAGATACATCTCTGCAAATGAGCCCAAGCAAAAGCATGTACAGTCTCCTGTTGATATCTCTGAAATCCCAACTATGTTCATGACATTCAAAAAACAAACAAAAACAAAAAACAAAAAAAAAAAACCCACTCCGTTTCACGTGTAACTTCTACTACACCCACTCATTGTATAACATAGTCTCACTATGAGCACTTGAAACTACCACCTCCCCCCCAAATCAAAAAACAAATACTTAAAGCAGCACTTTACTACCAAAAACGGTACTACCCTTACTACCAAAAGCGGTCAGAGGTCCAGGTTGTCTATATTTGATACAGAGCATTCCAGAAGGCTTTGTCTGGCATATATCCTCATGGAAGTACAATTGCTTCCAATTGGATATTATTTTCCAATCCAATATATTGTCTTGAGGCAAAGTCAAATAAGAAGAGAGAGTTACAAATCCAATCTTTTATTATTGGTCATTTCCAACAGTCTGCTGCTGCTTCTAAAAATTGTTCTAGGAATGTTGGGGTTCCTATATAAGTGATGTTCACCTGCAAGTTACACTTTACAACATTACAATTGTCATCAGCACTGCCCACATCGCATCCTCCTTTTTTTATTTTTAAGGGCAAATTAATTCTCTGCCTCAAACTTTGTGTGTGTCCAAACTAGACAATGATTATAGTATTGTTCATATGGGCTGAGGCTAAATGCTTCAATCAAAGAATCTCTTATGAGGTACTGCACACAGACACGCACACACACAGCCCACCCATTAACTTCAATTGGAGTTGTGGGTGCTCAGCACTTTGGAAGTGAGACTTAGTTCTTTACATATTGCTTTTCCGTAATTTCCCTTTTACCCTTCCTCCAGCATGTTCCATGATGTTTTACATAATGAGCCAAATTCATCCATCACATAACCCCGTTAAAGTTAGTGGAGTTACACCAGCAGTGAACTTAAGCTTCTCTAATTTAGCTGCCAATCCTTAACAGGATCCAATAAATCAGACAGTTACATCTTGAATGATCCTTTTCAGTGCAAATGGGTCAGCATTAATGGGTTCTCAGAGTGTACAATTCTCATGTTAGGCACCATGGACAGAGCACAACTTGTACCAGAGCTAGAACCAGTAAAAGGACTGGGAAGAGGCACCTTGTGCCTATTCCATTCTGCAGCCTGCACCATTGCTGTAGTGACTCCAGGACCACTACGGGAGTGCAGAATCACTGGGGAGGAAGAATGCCAATGGCCACTCACTGCCCCAAAACAACACTTCCGCTTCCTGCCTGAAAATGCCCCTTATGTTAGAGCACCCTGAGCGCAGGAGTCAGGCAGTAAGCTGAAAGATAAGGCTCTTGCTCAATACAGGAAACCTCTATTCCGGGGGAAGAGTCTGACACTTAGCCTACAGTACAGTTGGCACAAAAGAGACTGGAGGACAAGCATCAACACCAATTTTTTCTTACTTGTGGTACAATAAATAATATTAGATTATTGAAGCCTTAACAGACCTAGTCTGTTACCAGAAAAAGCATATTTGTCCAATAAGCTTATTCACTCTTATATTACTATAATCCCTGAATAATTCATTCACTCAATAGTATTCAGTCAGCTACAGAGTTTATTGAGCATTAAAAAAATAGTTGAGTAAATTAGTCAATGAAAAATTGTTGTTGAATACTCTTTGGCCAAACCCTACTCACAAATCATCTTACAATAAAGATTTGAACTCTATTAGGATAGATTTGTCAGACCAAATAGACAACATATTAAATATCTGGGGCTCTAAGTATACTTGTTTGTGACTTTAAAAATACTAGTTGTGCTTCTCCTAAAATATATTACCGAACAGAATTTATACCTATTATTAAAACACTATTTTACACTGAAAGAACAAGTCCATTGAGATTATCATTCCAATATAAGCAAACACATCCTTTCAAAGTCAGTTTCTAGCCACTTATTAGTTCAGAAAAAAACAGAAAAAATAGTTTCCATTCTAAAACAACAAGGGCATCTCTCATGCAGGGTCATAATGACTCTCAAACCAGTTACTTTCACAAATTTCATGTAAATGCACAAAGGGTAGGTCTACACTGCAATTAGACACCCATGCCAGCTACCTCAAGCTTGCGGAGCTGTTTAATTGTAGTGTAGATGTTCCAGCTTGGGCTGCAGCCTAAGTTCTGAGACTCTCCTGTGATGGGCTTGGTCACAGAGACCCCCTTGGGACTGTCACCTGACATCCTGGAATTACCTCTGAGCCTATTTTCCACTGCCAGCTTGGGACTCCGGAACCCTGCCTTTTTGAGCCAGACATGCTCGCCTGCTGCAACACAGACCCAGGTCTGGTCCACATCCCCAAAGCTCCAGATTTTAACCAAAAACTGCTCAGCAAGTCACCTAACTCTAGCACCAAGACACCCAGTTCCCAATGGGATCCAACCCCCACATAAATCCATTTTACTCTGCATAAAGCTTATACAGGGTAAACTCATAAATTGTCCGGGCTCTAGAACACTGATAGAGAAAGAGATGCACAGCTTTCCCCCCCCCCCCCACAAACCCCAGGTATTAATCACTTACTCTGGGTTAATTAATAAATAAAAGTTATTTTATTAAGTATAAAAATTAGGATTTAAGTGGTTTCAAATAATAACAGACAGAACAAAGTAAGTTACCAAGAAAAAAACAACAAAACATGTAAGTCTAAGCCTAATATATTAAGAAACTGAATACAGGTAAATCTCACCCTCAGAGATGTTCCAATAAGCTTCTTTCACAGACTAGACTCCTCCTTAGTCTGGACCCAATCCTTCCCCCAGTAAAATCCTTGCTAGTACCAGCTCAAATGGTAACTAGGGGATTTGTCATGACTGGCAGCCTCCTTTGTTCTGTTCCACCCCCATTTATATCTTTGGCACAAGGCAGGAATCCTTTGTCTCCCTCTGGGTTCCCACACTTCCTTCTAAATGGAAAAGCACCAGGTACAAGATGGATTTCAGTATCATGTAACATGTTCATATGTCCTGTGAGACTTCATTACCCACTGGCTGGCCCACAGGAGGACTTGCAGGTAAATAAACCATCTACAACCAATTATCCTAGTTAATGGGAGCCATCAAGATTCGAAACCACCATCAATGGCCCACACTTTGCATAATAACAATAGGACTTCGAAGTAATAATTCATATTTCTAGCTTCAGATACAAGAATGATATATTCATACAAATAGGATGACCACACTCAGTAGATTATAAGCTTTGTAATGATACCTTACAAGAGACCTTTTGCATAAAGAATCTTTATCACTGCAATCAAACAGCCCCATAGCCCAAGCCTGGGGAGTCAGAGTCAGATGGCATGGACCAGCTGCAGGTTTTTAATTACAGTGTAGACATACCCATAGCCACGGCCTGCATTCGGGATGGAATGTGTGGACTGGCACAAAACTGAATGTTGACACTGAATCCCCACAAAGGCAGCACCAAGTAACTCCTTTCAAAGCTTATACCACCTGCTGTCTCCCACCCTCTGAGCCAGTTTGAGGTGGTTGAAGGGCTCAGGCCATGACTGTTCTCTCCTCTCACTGTACTAGAACTAGTAATTTTCTTATCAGAAAAAGATTGATTAAGATTAAAATTCTGTGGGAAAGTGATTTCAACATTTTTCAATTTTCTAACAGGGAAATTCTAAACTTAAAAATTTTGATGTGTTCCAAAAGTTTTCTGTGCAAAACCAAGATTTTTCAATTGAATGTTTTTGAACTGGGTGTTTTTCCTGTGGTTTGTTTGTTTGTTTGTTTGTTTTTGTACAGGAAAAATTAGTGGGTTTCAAACAGCTCTTCCTGGTACGCTCTGGATTTTTAGCATTGCTAATTTGTGCTAGAGCACTGTATCCTTGTGTGCCAGGTATGCAGGGCCTAACAGCATGCCTAGCCTCTGGCAAGACCCCTTGTGGCTTGATCCCTTCCTCATTAGTTCATCCACACAGGATAAGGAATGATCTAATCATATAGAAGAAACAAACTGAATAAAGATCAAGCCCTGAGAAAGTAAATTGAAGTGTTGGGTTTTTAACAGTTATTTTCCTAAATGAA